TGTTGGTGTGTTATAGCCAGATTTATGTTGAGAATCAAGAGCAAAGGGCCCAGAAGAATGATTTAAGACACTGTGAGTTTAGCCAGAAAGGAAACTCCAGTAGAGCTGTGAGCTGCAGAGATAGAACTGGGAGATCTTGATTGCTGAGAAGGACTGGTAGAATAGAAAAGATGGCCTGAAGGCATCACAAGAAGCAACAGGACTCCACCTTTTGCAGCCTGAAAATTGCAAAAGTGACGTGAAACACGTTGCTTTGAGGAGGAGGCTGCAGAGCACCATGTTCTAGAATAGTGGTGGCCTAGAGAATTTGTTCCGCAGAATCAGATTCAGAGTTCCCAGTGATTCAGGCACTTGACCTCTACAGCCAAGCATGAGGGAAGCCTGGCTACTGCTCCTGTTGGCAACAGACCTTAGCATCATCCGGGTGGTGCTGGTTTTAGGTGCATGCAGAATGGCAGATTTGTGGAGTCAGGAAGGCTTCCATTAAGATTTTAGAAAGCCTGGGAGGCCAGGCAGTGTGTCCCCGAAAGGGCAGTGTGTGAAGCTGTGAGTGTGAAGCCAAAGGTGCAGTGGAGACCCCAGAAGTTTGGAGAAGCTAGGTAAGTGGACTGTCTGAGGGAAATTGCAAGGAGGAAGCAGAGCTGGCCCACGAGAGAACCCAGGGGAGCCACCACCAGCAGAAGTACCACAGAGGTCGACCCACCTAAGCCTTTTGGAGTTTACATCTTGCCACGGATTGCCTCAGATGCTGCCCACGGAGCCACAATTTAATGTTTGCCCTGTTGGATTTTGGACTTGTTTTGGTCCTATTCCTTTGCATCCCCCTCTTTGTAATTTTTGAAATGGAAATGTCTGTCATGTGCTGTTAAATGTTGGAAGTGTTTAAAACTTTTTTTGTTTCTGTAGGGGCTTGAAGATAAGAGTTTGCCTTACATCTCAGAGGAGTCTTTTGACTTGGAGTTTTCAGCAATGATGAAACTGTTAGGAGTTTGGCAACTCTCTGAGATGGACTAGAGGCCTTTTGCACAAAGGGATGTGCCTGAGTCTTTGAGGTGCTAGGGGTGGAATTTTATGGTTTGTGTCTAGATGTCCCCCCAAAGCCTCATGTAGTCATAGGGTTTTTTTAGAGATGACTTGATCTAGAGTGTGTGATTGATTCCTAGCACAATGCTGGGATTAAAGGTACTGGAATTTATGGTGTGAGTGCTACTCCCTCCAGAGGGCGGATAGTCTGCGTACAATATGAGGGACTGAAAGAGGCTTATCTCACTCTCTCTTGTTGCTTTTGCTGCCTTCCACTGCCATGAACTGTTGCCCCTCTGCCATGCCCCTCTGCCTTGGAGCCAGCTAATTATGAACTGAAACCTTTACAAACTGTGAGCTACATAAACCTTTCCTCTCTCAACTTTGAGTCTTGGTTATTTTTGTCTCCACAAGGAGAAAGGTAACTAAGACACAAGGAATTCTAATTTGGGCTTTTGCCAAGCTCTCCTAGAAACTTGTTTATTTTTCAACACCCTACATTGTTGCCCTCTAAATTTTTGTTTAGGTTTTAATTTGCTCACACATCTATATGAGTTTTCTATCCTCGGTACCTTGTATGATGGTGTGTTAAAATATTTGATGAGTTTATGGCAGTGCAGGTCTATAATTCCAGGCACAGCTCTGTAATCCCAGCCACTCAGGAGGTGGAGGCAGGAGGAGCACAAGGTTGAAGCCAGCTGGAGTAGCTCAAGCTCAAAACATGCTTTAAAAATAAATGCCATCCATCTGGATGCGGGCTTTAGAAATGGTCCTCCTTTAAGACCAGCTCAATTTCAAAATTAATAAGATTCTTTATAAAATTCAATTTTTTATACTGGTAATTACTTTTTCATTTCCATATTTTATTTCCCATCAAGATTTCTTTTGCTTCCAATAATTTTCCCTTTTGTATTATAAAATGTTTGTAAGCCACAACTAGCATTTTTATTTCCTATCCTTGTAACATTCTGCACCTAGATTACTCTCTAGCTTATGATTAAAATGGTTTATAATCTATTTCTATCCTGGGTACCTTGTATGGTGGTACATTAAAAATATTTGATGCTCCACAGATACAGGTTTCAAGGATTCTGTAAGGAGTTTTTGGGCCTGTCTCCTGAGTGGAACTGTACACAAGAGTGGGAAAGGCAACGTGAGGTGTGTGAGGCATGGGGACAGTCCAGCTGCTGTCCCGACGGCAGTGCTGGCTGCAAATGGCTCCTGTCAAGTCTACGGGGCTGCCTTTGGTTGTTGCAGAGACTGAGAGAACCCGGCGTCTTCCACCGACAGACTGCAGATAGGTGGATTCCTACAGAGTGCCTCAGAGTTGGGATATGGAGGTGCCCGTGCAGTCAGACTGCGGCATGCGAGTTAGTGGTACTGAGCAATGCACCTCACAGAGACAGCATCAGTGAGTAATTCTGCAAACAGAGGAGCCTGGGGGAAAGGAGGGCAAGGGACACAAACGTCCAAATGTATATGTAGATGTCCCAGTTCCCCAGGATGAATGTAGCCAGTATGCATTGCAAACAAACGCTAACAAAAACATTTTAAAAACATGTAAAGGAAGAAAAAGCACGTTAACTCCGTTAAAGGGGGAGGTCAGCACTGATCTTATGTTTCATTCTATCTGCACCACTGAGGGCATACTTTTGAAATTTGTAGATAAAAAATAAATGTTAAAGGAGAAAAGCAAAGAATAGAGGAGCTGATCGTTTTCTGACTACCAGGCAGATCCCAGGGATCCGGAACCTGGAGCACAGCTTTTGTGGAGCGGCTGGCCCTGGAGACTCCATCCTTCAGCTCACTATAACCATAGCAGGTCCTACTAGATAATCATCAGCGAGGCACAGAGAGCATCACAGTTTCAGCCTTGGGGAGAGGGTCTGGGTCACAGGTATAAAGACAGTGACAAGAAGAAATACAGTCATAAAAAGAAATAATACTTACTAAGGATTCAGTCTGTATCAGGCACTGTTCTAACTGCTTGAAATGTACTATTTCCTTTTATAAATTCTTCTCATGGTTTGTTGACAGAATTAGGAGCAATGTTCCAGGTGAACTCAGCACTGAGCCTTAGCAGTGCTCTCGGCTTCTCAAAGCAGTTAGCTATTTTGTTGCTCTCATCATATCTAATGACAACAACAGTAATAGCTGCCCTCTGTCCCAAATAAAACTCTAAGAGGTGTTTAAGACTTCTGCCCCGTAGGTGAAGTCCTAGGCTCTGTTACTTCCCAGAATAACCCATGACCCAGTTCAGGGCGAGTGGTCAACAAATGCCCGCAGAAACAATCCCCTAAATTCTACGGCTCCTCTGCCTATAAGTGGCTTTTGCTGGGGAGAAAGTCTGTGGTTTTCCTCACATTCTCAGGATATTTTGTGGTCTGAGAAGTCAAGGGCCACCGCTTTAGAGACTTTGCCACTCTGTGAGTAATGAAGTCCGATGAGGATGTGGAGAGGGAGGCCCGAGGGGCCTCCGTACGAGGTTGGGATTCTCGCGTGACGCCAGCCCCTGCTGGCTGACAGGGCGTCTCCCTGTCCCCACCTGGAAATGCCCCTTTGGCCAGGAGGGCACACTTACATAAGACTGTGCAGTTGCTGGCTGCACCTCTAGCCTGGAATGGACTGACTCCATGCCGGATAATTTCGTTCTGGTTTTGTAGGAATCATTAAGTGTTAGCCATGGAAACTGCTTCTTACATCATCTATTTCAGGGCTTCCAAATTTATAGCAAATTCACCGCTACTCCCCTTCCCAAATCTGTGGATGACACCTCCGGTTGGGATGCCACTCTTTACTTCTGTTCTGTTTGAATCTTTAGTACGGTGCCCGGTCATTCCCCACGCACTGCCTCAGCATGTGTGAAGACGCCGGACTCCTGCCCTCTCCTCTCGCGTGTCCAGTGTCCTCCTCTCGCACCTGGGCAAAGCAGGGAAATGGCATTTGCCGTGTCTGCGGGCAGCACCTGAGCACCATGAAGGAAGGAAGAGGGCGATTTGCAGACAGGGAAGGTTGCCACTGTAAGCTATGAGCACATGTGCACCAAATATCATCTTTGCTCTCACTGCCATTACTCTTTTTTCCGTAGGATAAAGCAAGAAAGAAACCCTCTTTTCAGAGGTTATTTAACTCCTTCTTATACACAAACTTCCAAAGCAGCCAAAAGCCAGCCAGTAAGTAGTGGAAAGAAATCATGAATGATGCTTTTAAGTTGTTCTTTTTTTTTTTTTTTTTTTTTTAAAGCAATGAGATTAGTAAGCGAGATCCAGGCTTCCTGCAATTTCCTTTCACCTCTCAGTGCCTGGGACGCTCGTGCCTGAACCTGAGGGATACGGCAGAAGTTGGGCCACTCAGGCATCCAGTGCCCTTCCCTTGTTTCCTAGGAGAGCCCTGGACACTTCACAGAAATACAAAACTGGTTTTCTATATACGAGGGAGAGAGAAATCAGTTGCCTTGAAGGGAAAAGTCTGCCCATTTACTTATTTTCCTGTGTGTGTGTAAAGAAAGACTACAAAAGTAAGACTGAGGATTAACAGGGCAGGACGTGAAATACTGTCAGTTTCCTCCTTCAAATCATTAATGGAAAATAAGCTTTGCAATAAGTAAGCTTCACTGCAGCTCCTGCAACTTAGAATATAGCCCTCTTAGGTGATGTGTAAGGTAGGAGCCTTATCATGTACTTTTCCAGTTAGCTCCATGGGCAAAAAAGGGGAGAGAATTAGTTTTTAAGCAGAGCGACAGAGATCAGGTTCGAGTTCTGGCAGGCTAGGTTTTCTCTTTCTCCTTGTCGTCCTGGTGAGGACAGGGAGGGTGTGCAGCGAGGGGAGCATGGCTGAAAGTACACAGCCCTCCTTTTCATTCTCCCTCAGGGGCCCTGGATAAAGGGGCTGACATCCCAACCTTCTCTCTCTTTTGCATAGAGAGCCCTGCTCTGACATAGGAAAGTTACTGATGCAAATTAAAACAAGAGCCGGTATTATCTGAAAACATATTTATTGCCTGAATAATAAAACTTAGATAAGGAGTTGTTAGAATTAGAATTCCCCTTCCTTGAAATACAAGTTCACAAGAAGCAGAAAGAAGCGCCCCTGCCTCACTGAGGAAGAGTACATTAGTAACGGGAACGGCAGGCACGCGGGGCTCTAGCACTCTGTCTACTTCTTTGTGACTGAGCACGGCACAGTGGGGAAGCAGACGCGCGGGGCAGTGCAGCAGTCCCCACGTGGGCGGGTGCGGGTGGCCACCTCAAAGCTGCAGCGCTCAGCCTTCTGAACTCCCCCGCTCCCCGGACACACCGCCCAGAGCAACCTTGTAACTGCACAGGAGGCTGGCACGGGGTTTCTCGACTCGTACAAGAAACGAAAACAGCTCACAGACCGTGCTTAATAAATAAGAGAGCGAAGGGGAGTAAGCCAGCCACTCGCAGGGGCTGCGGGCGCAACAGCCACACTCGGACCTCACGCACAAAGCAGGGAGGGCTGCCTGTGCCCCGGGGTGGGCCTGTCTCCAGGACAGGGGTTCGGCCAGTTCCCACCGCCACCTCCCAGGTGGCTGGAGCCCCGTCTCTGCAGTTAGGAAGCACGCCCCCTCTGGACAGGAGGTGTCGCTGGAATTGGATGACAGGAGGTGTCATCTGTACAGGTGACAAATCAAGAGAGGTCCCAAAGCAACGCACAAAAGCACAGCCACCTGACCTCTCAACTTTCCCTTTCCTTTTCAAACGACCTCAGATCCATCCTCAAAGTGCAAATCCGGATGTACAAATCGCAAGTGTACGGGAAAACCGAGCCCTGCCTCCTTCCCGCCCCCACCGCAGACAGGTCGGCTCCGCCACCTAGACTTTCAGGCAGTCGTTCTTCAGCCGACCGAGGCGCGTCCCGTGGCTGCGGATGGTGAGGGCCAGCAGCTCGTACTTGTCCCTGAGCCCCGCGGAGATGCCCAGCGTCTCCTTGAGCAGGGCGCGGGTGTGCACCAGCATCCCCAGGAAGTCCTCGTGCAGCCGGCTCTCCTGCCGGCCGTCCTGCTCCTGGCCCTGCCGGAACTTGCTCTCCAGCTCGGTGAGGGACTTGTCCGAGTTGGAGTAGGCGTCCCCGATCTGGTGCGACTCGCGGCGCAGGTACTTGCCGTAGCTCTCCTCGCCGTCCAGGTCGTAGGAGATGCTCTTGCTGATGCCCTCCAGCACGCGGCCCGAGTCCTCCACCTGGCGGCCCAGCACGGTGAACTCCTCGCGCAGGCTCAGGCGCAGCGCGTCCCCGGCCGGGCTCCCCGCGCCCTGGGCGCAGCGCCGGCGCTCGCTCACGCGGAACAGCAGCTGGCACTTCTCGGGGTCGTCGTTCTCCTCGTAGTCCCCGTCCGGCACGAAGTAGTGGTGCAGGGTCCCGTTGGACATCTCTGGGTACAGAGGGCCGTCAAAGTAGCCCTGGCACAGGTGGCAGAGGAAGCCCATCCAGAGGAGCGTCGCCCACACCATGCTGACGCGCGCAGGGTGACCAGCGGCGCGGAGAAGAAAAAGGGCCCCGGGAGTCAGCGCCTCCCCGAGCCCGCGTCCCGCGCGCTCCCCTCCGGCTGGACGCTCCCTGGCCCCCGCGCCCCAGCGGGCGACATGTGTCTCAGTCCGGGGACTCCGGCACCGCGCTGCCTCTGCCTCCTGTCCAGCCCCGCCTGGCTCCCTGGAGGCCCAGCGGATGGCTGGAGAGGCGCTCCTGCCTCCGGAGCTCCGGCAGCTCTATGCGGGGCGGGAATGCGCGGCTCTCTCGCTTTGGCTAAAGATATCCCCGCGCTCGAGTTACAGCTGCTTTCGTCACTTGGACGCCAGGGCACAAGTTTGGAGAGAAACCTCTGGCCAGGTCTCGCTGTTAAAGCCACAGAGTCGCTTTTAAAGCTGGGGAGGCGAGACCCTGCGAAAGAGAGAGCGGCGTGAGGGGGGCATGAGGAGAGAGGAGAGCCGCAGACAGCCCGGTTGGCCTTAAGGTATTGTGGCTCAAAGAGAGAGACCAAAGGAATGCAACCCGCACGTTTAAATAAACACCAGCCAGGCTGGGGTTGCTCAGGGTCTATGTTTATCTTGCAGAAGTCTGCCTTTGAAGGCAAACACCGAAGTGTCAGAAATGGGAGTTTCGTTTGGAAATGGTTGGCTAATAACTACGAAAACAGACAGAAATAGAAAATTAGTTAATGCATAGTTGCTACTAGGTGTAAGACCAAAAACTAAAACTAAAAAAAAGGCATTTTGCCCATTTAGCAAGTAGAAAGACAACTGAAACCTCTGTTTAATTCTTATTGAGAAGCCGTCCATCCCCAGCTTCGGCACTGAATTTTTAACCTAATACTTTATAGCCACTGCTTCTTTTGAGATATTTAAAAGCTTTTGAAAGAATTAGACTGTCACAGATTGCCTCTTTTTCCTTATAGTGAAGTGAAAGGGCAGACTATTCAACACATTGTTTATGCTTACACAATTAGACTGTAGTTGAGTCATGTTTTAATTTGAAAAACAAAAACAAAAACAAAAACAAAAAAACAACAAAATCACCTTATTTCTTGCCAGGCTATTTTAGTTTCTGATTTATGAGTCAGATTGGCAAACGGTCACCCCAGCCATTCATTCTCTCAGGAAGTGTTCCCTAAGCATGTACTATGTGCCAGGTCGTGCTCCAGTTCTGGAAATGCAGCCATAAGCGCAAAGCTCATTCAAATCCTCGCCACTCTGAAGCGTTCCTTCTGGGAAATGGCGCCAGAATGTAGTTACCATAAGCGAATCCGCAGAGCTCCTGCCTTGGACAGTGACGTGGCCCTGGAGAAAGAGTGGGAGGGGCGGCAGCCGGGAGTAAGGCTTGCCTGATTCCCTGCTGTCTCTGCCTGGAGATGGGGCTGAGCCCCACCCACAGTGACCACTAGTGCTCCCATCGTCCCCTGGTTAGAGTCCGAGGGGACTGGTTTCCTCCAGAGTGCCACATAATTCTGCGACTGTCACGTGCGTGGGCCCCTCTTGCTGCTGGGAACAACGCAGACTCCCTGATAGACAGTGACAACTCCCGTAAGTGACGAGCTGTTTGGCCAGTGTGGTACCTGCCCCCCGTGTAGATTTTTTGAGGTTAGTTCTCTGCACAGTTGAAGTCTTACCCAGGTACCTGGCCTCATGGAGACACCAAAGGATGCTTCTTAGTGTTTATGCCAGCTGGAAGGCAAGCCTAATTTCCACTGTATCCCAGTAGAAAATGACAGCCCCCTGGGCCGAGAGAGTGCACTCTGAGACTCTGAAGCGTGTTGCTTCATTCTTTTTTTTTCCCTGGGACTTTCACAAGTGACAACAGATGGCCTCAAATTGGCTGCTTGACCAAGGAAGAGAGGAGGAATTTACTGTGATTTACTCCTCGTCTTGCATAACTCCTCCCTGATTCACTCACCAATTCAACCACGCAGACGCAGGCCAAGCGCTTTGTACTCGCTGCTGTAGCAGGGTTCACTGTTTCCCTATCACAGACGCAAAGATGTGCAGTGAGCCTATCCGCCTGCCAAGAGCTTCCTGTCGGGTGAGAGAGTCAGAGGCAGGGCATGGGAAGAGCAGGAGTACCCACTCTCTTCCTGTAGTTCCGAACCTAACCACACAAACCCCACGTCATGCGTCGGAAAGGATTTTCCTTATACGTAAATGTGATTAAATTTTAGTCTAAGACAAAGGGAGATTCACTTACTCAGATAAAGTCTAATATTTCAGATAAGGCTTGTCCAGGATCTAGTTAATTCTTGGTTCTCCTTCCTCTTTGTTCTTGGGCAGTGGCTTCCGTTTCCGTCCCCCAGTGGGAGCCGGTGTCTTCCGGGGCTGTACCCTTCAGGAATGGCAGGCTGGATTTCCTGGTGACTCCAACGTGTGCTCCTCAAGGCAGCCTCTGTGCCCACAGTTGACCTGATGTGCATCACTGATGTGAATCCCCCTCAAAACAGGCCTGCTGTGGTCTGAGGTTCTTGACTGAAGAAAATAAGACCTGGTTCTGTGGGTAAAGTGCCGTGCAAACTACGTGAAGGGGTGGTTTATGGTCCTGGGTAGGAAAGGAACAATAAGATTGAGGATTCTGGGGAAGCAGCTATGAATATTCTTCCTATCACATGCCTTTTTCTGTGCCTTGGTCTTTGACAACCACACCTGGAAGGCTCTGGTGCCCTTAGGCAGGTGGCCTTGTGCTGGTGGTGTGGCAGGTGGCGGCGGGGACTGGGAGACTCATCTGCAGCCATCTGCTGATTTCCACAGTGTAAATACACTCACCGTGACTAACATCCCTGGATGCAAAGTTGGGAAAGTAAGTGCAATGGTGCATCCATACACAGATTTCCCACTGCACAGACTCATTACGTGCAGAAAATCCCAGGAGAATAGAAAACAGCAAACACTTTAATAATAACTAAAAGCATTGAGTAGTGCATAAATTCCTATCATTTTAATATCATTTGTTTAAAGTCACATTTACTCTTAAAATAATGGCTAAGGTAACAGCTGCCTTGTGCCCCCTTGAAGCCTTAGCAATCATTTCTCAAGAGTCAGTACAAGCCAGCTTCGGCACGGACCGCCTTCTGATCCAACACTACATTCTGCTCACTTTTAACAGGTTTCAGTTGCACCTAAGTTCAGAGATAAGGTGAGTTTTGTTCTGGAGTAAATGGAGCCAGAGGAACTTTCTACACATACACATGCTAGACAGAGGACTTTGAGGAGTAAAATCAAGTATGATCTGCTGAGAAAGGCCACAGTGGAACCTAGGACTGACACCTAGAGATAGAGGGGAAAATTATTAATTTTACCAGGAATTGGGTAAATCTGAGAGTGAAGGAGGCCCTCAGGAACAGTGGCTGAATCACAGGTGTAAGCACATAGCACTGTCACCCAGTCCAGCTCTCTGTGTGCATCTAACCCTGGTACACAGTTCCAGCAAAATCGGCCAGGTTAAGACTTGTTAACTTCTGTCATTTGCAGTGCATTTTACAGTCTTGCTCCGCTGAGCCCATTACTGCTTTAGAGATGGAGGCAGGAATCCAGGCTATCACTATAAGCTTAAGGCTCTGTAGTTTTCCCTTGCTAAAGACTGTTGAAGTCTTCTGATTGTTTCTGACAATGGCGAAGAGAGAACTTTTATAACTTCTGATGGTTAAGTATAAGGAGAGTTTGGGGTTGCAGCCGAGTAACCCAGACAGACATGCTCAGAGATGAAAGCCCTCTCCAACACCCCAACACTGTCAGGGTGAGTCCCCAGACCATGGCAGAGCAGGAAAAAGAACAGACTGTGTTATCTTGGGCCACAATAGGGTCCTGAAGTAGGAGAGAGGAGGGCAGGAAGGGTACAGTATCTACCCTTGGGTTATTTTTAACCAGCCAGGAAAGAGACAGTCGTGCCTGTTGGGCAGCCATTGTTTGCGAAGGTAGGTGGGACAGGAAAAGAGGCATGGATAAGAGAAAGAAAGAAAAGAAAAAAGTGGCAAAGGAAAGATGGCATCAAGAGAGGACGGAATGAAAGACAGAATGAAATGCACTTTCATCATGTAGCCAATTTTTTTGTTTGTTTGTTTTTCCGGTACCAGGAATCGAACTCATGACCTCGTGCTTGCCAGGCAGGCGCTTTGCCGTTGAGCTAAATCCCCAGCCTCTCATGTAGCCCATTTATTTGCTGCCTTAACTCACTGAAGTGGTTATTATTTACTAGAAGCTCATGAGTTAGGAACAGGCAAAATTAATCAATGAAAATAATCACGAATAATTTTTATCAAATGTAAGCGGTACCACCCCGCTATAAAACATTTCTTACGATTTTTCTGTATCACCACATGTTGTGTCATGTCATAGTAACAGATATCACGAAAACGGTATCTCAGTCTCTTTCTTGTCCTTGGGAGCAATACCCAACGCTCATAACTTCAGGAGGAGGGGTTTGTCATGGCTCGGGTTTCAGTCCAAGGTAGGCTGCAGTTTCCAGGGCAGGATGGGGGCGAGGGGCTGGGAGCAGGAAAGCTGCTCACCTCCGTGTAGGCAGGAAACACAGAGTGAGGGAGGAGCCGGAGGGAGATTGAGCACTGTCCCCTCCGACCAGAACCCATCTTCTAACTGCGTGTCTGCTATCCGGTCACCCCCCAGCCAGTCACTTTGCAGAAACCCTGCCTTTGAGCATGTGAAGTTTGACACCTAGATATAAACAGTAAACACTTGCTAAACAGAAATCCAGGTTCACGGCAGGTGTAGGCAGCTCAGCAACTCTGTCATCTGAAGCACAAGCCCTGCCTGGCTGACGTGGTTGTGAGGATAGCCCTCCAGAGTCTCGCCTGCATTTCCAGTGCGTGGGTTCAGGAGGGACAAATGTCCCTGTGCGTGCTGCCAGGGCCAGGGACACTGCCTTGTCCTTGTGCAGAGGAGGGTGGAGTCTTGCGGTTTCACAGGCCGGGGCAAAGCCATATGTGGATGAGCTCTAGTCATCTCTACTGTCCTCTCCCCCAGGAAAATCAGCTCGAGGAATTCTTCACCTGCCAGACAGGAAATGGCACACATGTCTTCCACAACAATGCACAGATCTTCTAGAC